GGTTATGCAAAAGAATTTACAGTTTTCCTTCTCACACGAGTCCCTTGTTAGCTTTTACCCTATTGAATTTCTTGACACGGAGAAGTTTATCAACAATGTATTCATTCCTTTAATCCTAAATTTAGAATCTCCAATGATCTTTGAAACACCTCTCACTAAAGAATCTTTAAATTCAACTCTACAAGACAACATTAACGCCTATCTGATGAGGCTACTTGAGTTTCAAGCGTGCATCTCAGTTCATGCTAACAAGGTTGAAAGAATGCAAAGAATTTCTGCAAGAAGTTAAAAGATAACAATCTCTTGAGCCCAGACTTTCAACAATTAATGATGAAAACTTGAGTATAAAGTTTTATGATGGGGATAAGTAATCCTCTGCTGTCAAGTTTTGTGATAACTTCGTTGCTTCTTTCTCTCAATAGGGTAATGCCAGAACTTTCATATATAGAGGAGATAGGGATATTACCTTCAGTGCAAATATTTTGGAGAGGGGGATAATACCTTCAACATAAGTATTTTTCTTTCTTTATTGAACTATCAAAATTCATATGTTATTTTGTTCCTTTTTAGTAATATTGCTTGTTTCTTCTGGTAATGTATCACTCAGATTATCTCCTTCGTAAAATTGAAGCCCAAATATTGTTTAATTTACATTTTGATTTTATTTAAAGAATCAAAATATTTCTTACAACAGTTACTTTGGTTTTGTTCTCTCTTTATTTAGAATTAAATAAATAATCTACTAAACAAAAATTATTTTTAAGAAACCTATAATTTAATCTTTAATACTCACCTTGATGGCATGATTTCTAAAACTTAATTTAAAACAATAGATTCAAATATCATTTTCATATATCTTAACACCAATATTGAAACCTAAAATGAAATAATATATGATATCCATAGAAACTATTGCGGAACACGGCTATCAGATAGAGCAAAATCGCAACTGATAATTTGAGAAAATAAAAATGAAGATAAAGAAGACACAAAATTTACGTGGAAAACCCCTAAATAATATAGGGTAAAAACCACGGGAAACGGTAGAAGAATTTCACTATGAAAAAATAGGAATTACAACTTCTCTCGATCTACCAAGGAGAAAACAATGACAATTCTCTCTTGATAAAAAGGAGAAAACAACTCTCAAGAAAATCACTAAATTCTGTAGTATTGGGAAAAGCTAGAATGGTTTTGGATGGTTTTGTAGCTAAATGAGCTAGGGTATTTATAGTTGAAGCTTAAGGACTAATCTTATAAATACCCTAAAGTATAGTGACTAAAGTTACAATTTTACCATTGCCTAAAAATCAATATTTTTGATTGCTTTGCACCGAAAGCACCGAATTGTTTAAAAGGTTAGCCAAGTGGCCAACTTGGCATTTGAATTTTCAACAATCTCACACTTGAAGATTTGATTGAAACAATCATATCTTCACACCATTCTTTCTAACTTGTACCTTCATGTTGCTTACGTTTCTGACATGCCATAAGAGGATCGACTCCATGTAAATTTATCAGCATTGATCGCCTTCGTCATGAAATCTGCTATGTTGTCTTTAGTATGGATCTTCTACATATCTACCATCCCTTCTTCCACCTTTTCTCAAATGAATTGGTACTAAAATCGTATGTGTTTTTTTCTTGAATTAAATGTTGGATTCCTTGCTAGATGCAAGGCGCTTTGACTGTCAAAAAAAGAGAGACATACTTTTGATTGTGCCTAAGCTCCTCCAATAACATCTTCAACCAAATTGCTTCTTTACTGGCTTGTGTAGCTGCTACATATCCTGCCTCTGTTGTGGATGTAACCACAACTGACTGCAATTTTGAAACCCAGCTTACAGCTCCACCAGTAATTTTAAACACATATCCTATAGTGGATTTACTTTTGTCCAAATCCCATGCATAATCAGAATCAACATACCCATTGATAAGTAAATTTGATCCTCCGTAACCTAATGCAACATTTGAGGTCCCTTTGATGTATCTTAGGATCCTCTTTAATGTATTCCAATGCTCTTTGCTTGGATTCACCATGTACCGACTAACCACTCCCACTGCTTGTGCAATGTATGGTCTTGTGCATATCATAGCGAACATTAAACTTCCCACTGCCGATGCATATGGCACTTGAGACATCTTCATCCTCTCTTTTCACTGCTAGGACTCATACAGGAGGATAATTTGAAGTTAATAGGAAGAGGGGTATAAATTGACTTACAATCTTGCATGTTGAATCGTGACAAGATCTTCTTCAAGTAATTCTTTTGTGAAAGCCAAATCTTCCTATTACTTTTGTCTTTGTGAATTTGCATCCCTAGAATCTTGTTTGTTGATCCTAAGTCCTTCATTTCAAATTCCCTAGCCAGTTGTGCCTTCAATTCTTTAATATGATCTTTGTTGGGTCCTGCAACCAACATGTCATCCACATACAACAACAATATAACAAAATCGGTATCACCAAACCTCTTGAAATAAGCACAAGGGTATGTGTTAAGTCTGTTGTATACAAGGCAAATAATGAAAGAATCAAATCTCTTATACCAACACCTTGGCATCTGCTTTAGACCGTACAGAGATTTGTTCAACCTACAAACCAAGTTATTCTTTTCTTTTTCTTTAAAACCTTCAGGCTGGAGAATATAAATCTCTTTTTTAAGATTTCCATGAAGAAAAGTTGTTTTAACATCTAGCTCCTCTAGATGTAAATTCAATGTAGGACACATTGCCAAGACTACTCGAATTGTTGTTAGTCAAACCACAGGAGAAAAGATTTCATTAAAATTAATACCATCTTTTTGAGAATACCCTTTGACCACCAGTCTTGTGCGATACCACTTAACTTGATCGTCTCAATTTCGCTTGATTTTGAAGACTCATTTGTTACCAATTGGCTTCCTTCCTTGTGGTAGTGGCACAAGGTCCCATGTATTATTTTTATGAAGGGCTTCGATTTCTTCTTGCATCGCCATCATCCAAAGTGAAGTATCTGAGCTGTTTATTACCTCCTGGTATGTTGATGGCTCACTGTCCTCTGTTAAAAGGCAGTATGCAATATTTCCTTCTATAACATAATCTGAGTGCCAATTGGGACGTCTTCTCACACGATCTGATTGACGAGTTATTGGAGCTTCATAACTCTTTGGTTCTTGTTCATCATGTGCTGGTTTTGCTTCAGAAGAATTTCCTTGTTCAAACTCCTTTTCCACATGTATCTATGTAGTCTCTAACTTTTCAGTGCTATCATCATCTTCTTTTCTTTGTAGTTTATCTTATATAAAGATAACATCCCTGCTGATGACCACTTTACGGGCAGTGAGATCCCACAAGCGATACCCCTTTACTCCATCAGCATACCCCAAGAATTTACATTTCCTGGATTTTGGATCCAACTTTGAAATTTCTTGGGAGTTGTACATCACATACACAATACTTCCAAATACAAGGAGGTTTGAATAATCAGCTAGTTTACCAGTTCACATCTTCATTGATGTCTTCAGCTCTATTGCAGTTGATGGAGCTCGATTCACCAAATAACAGGCGGTATTGATTGCTTCTACCCAAAATGATTTTTTAGGCATGCATCCCTCAACATTTCTTTTGTTCTTTTTAACAAGGTTCCGTCCATCCGCTCTGCCACTCCATTTTATTGAGGAGTGTTCACCACTATAAACTGTCTTTTGATGCCTTCTTTCTTGTAAAAGTCATCAAATTCTTCACTTGTGTATTCTCCTCCATTATCTGTTCTGAAACACTTGATTTTATTTCAAGAATTAAGTTCCACACGCGCTTTGAAGGTTTTGAAAGTTGAAAACACATCTGACTTCTTCTCAATAGGGTACACCCAACATCTCCTGGAGTAGTCATCAATAAATGAGACAAAGTATTTGCTCCACCTAGAGATGTAATTTATGCTTGCCATACGTCAGAATGAACCAATTCTAGAACACTTTTGCCTATAGAATTTGATGTGTTGAATTTCATTCGTTGCTGCTTACCTGTTATGCAATGCTTACACAAAGTAAGTGATACCTTTGTTAAGCTTGAAAGTAGTTTTTGCTCTACAAGGACTTTCATTCCTTGTTCTGACATGTGTCCAAGTATCTGATGTCATAACATTGTAGAATCAGAACTACATGAGACAACAGAGGCTTCCGCTTCTAGAAAAGTCTCTCCCTTCAGCATGTATAAGTTCGCTGCTATCTTTTTGCCTTTCATCACCACAAGCGCTCCACGGAACACCTTTATGATTCCTTTCCGTGTTTCAATCTTGCTCGCATTATTATCCAACAATCCGTACGATAATAAAAAAAAATTCAGGCCTTTCATGTGCCGCACATCTCGAATAACTTTAATTGTTCCAACACACATCTTCAATTTGATGGTTCCCACGCCAACGATCTCTAAGGCATGATCATTGCAACTATACAGAGATCTTCCTGAGACAGGTTCATAATGATGGAACCATTCTCTTCTTGAGGTCATGTGATATGTTGCTCCCAAATCAATGAGCCATATATCTACAAATCTTTTTCTACCTTCCACGGTGGTTGACGCTTCACAACATAGAGCATCTCCATCATCTAAAGTGTTTACTGTATTGCCTTGTGGATTGGAGTTTTTAACTAAACTCTAACAATTCTTCTTCAAGTGACCCTTCTTTCCATAGTTGTAGCACTTTAAATTCTTCTTGTTTCTCAACTTTGATCTACCATGTTTGTGACTACTGCTTTGGCCACGTTCTGCTGATCTCCCTCTCATCGTTGTCAACGCTTCTACTTATTGCAGATTTACTTGTCTGTCTTCCTTGTTCTTGCACCGATTTGCTTTTTATAGAACAACATTTGTAATGTTATCAAATACTAGATTGGGGACACTACTGTTTGTCAAGTTGATGATGAGTTGATCATACGAATCAGGTAGATTTTGAAGTAGAAGTTCAGCACGTTCTTGTTCTCCTATTGTACATCTTAAGGATGTAAGCTCATAAAATAAAGTATTCAGCGTGTTTAAGTACTCCGTCACTGAAGTATATTCTGGCATCCGGAGAGTGTACAATTTTCTCTTAAGGAAATTTGTATTGTGCAACGATGTGGCATCGTACAATTTGGTGAGATGAACTCATATCTCCTTAGCTATCTTTTTCTCCTCGATGCTTGACAATACTTCATCTGCTAATGCTATATGAAAGTTTACCATAGTATTCTCGTCCATTTCAATCCATTTGTTATCATTTATGAAATCTACTGGCCTTTCACTGATAGCTGCTAGACAACCGTCTTTCCTGAGGATGGCCTTCATCTTCAATTCACAATGAGAAATTTCTCCCATTAAACTTTTCAATATCAAATTTCGTTGCCATAGCTTCTATTACGGATAGCCCTCACTATTTCACTATCGTGATTCTCTGGAACCTTCAAAGAATGTGTAATAACTTCTTACTTTCTTATGTTGGATGATTCACCTTTTGGTGGCAACTAAAAAGACAATAAATATATATTACATACTCAAATTTGGCTCTGATACCAATTGTTGTGAAATACGGCTATCGGATAGAGCAAAATCGTAACTAATAATTTGAGAAAATAAAAATGAAGATAAAAATGACAAAAAATTATGTGAAAAACCCCTAAATAATATAGGGTAAAAACCACGGACAACGGTAGAAGAATTTCACTGTGAGAAAATAGGAATTACAACTTCTCTCGATCTACCAAGGAGAAAACAATGACAATTCTCTCTTGATAAAAAATAAAAAATAACTCTCAAGAAACTCTCTAAATTCTCTAGTATTGGGAGAAAGCTATAATGATTTTGGATGGTTTTGAAGATAAATACCCTAAAGTTTAGTGACTAAAGTTACAATTTTACCATTGCTCAAAAATCAACATTTTAGGTTGCTTTGCAACGAAAGCACCGAATTGTTTGACAGGTTGGCCAAGTGGCCAACTTGACATTTGAATTTTCAACAGAAACTTGTTCAATATTAATCATGACTCCATCTTGTTTTCTTTATCACAATCACAAAATTTACTTATAATTTTTACAACACTTAACACCAATAATATAACCTAAAAGAAAAGCATATATTATATTTGTATAAAGTTCTTCAATATCATTTTTGACTTCTTTTCCTTGTTACTTGTTCAAGGCTTCCTTTGCATCACTCTCAGATTCGATTGACTTGAACACATTTCCTTGAACATCAACAATAATACGAGCACATTCTTGCCATGAACAATAGATGTCAGATTTCTTCCCATGAAAAAACAACAAAATAATTTTCCATCTTCTTCTTTTTGTTAACTCATTCTTAATATCTATTGGTAATGAAAGGACGTTAAAAAATATAGAGAAAAAGTAAGAGTTTGAAGGTTTATATGGAAACAAAAGCAAAACAAATAACCATATGATATACATAGAAACCTCTTTTGTTTATATATCAACAAAGAAAATTGAGTACAAATAAGAATATGCACTGATCAATGGGTGGGAAGTTGAGTTTTTGGGATCTTTTATATGATAGAAAAATTATATGACGGAAAATTGTTTTTAAATTCAAATAAACAATTCTACAAAACTAAAAAGTTGAATTGGTAAAATGGTTTATTTACTTTTAGGACCCTATTTATTTTAAAGTTAAACAACTTACCCCCTCATAGTTCAATCTTGGCTCCATCCCTATCTATAACGCCCCCAAATTTGTTCTAGAAGTCTTGACTAAGTTATCAAATCTCGAAGGTATTTAATTTTAAAACTTCCTTGCCATCAAGATAATGCAACAATTTAGAATTATGACTTTCTTGATAGATGTTAAGTGTAACTATTGGAGTAGATATAAAAGAAGGGTTCATATGCTAATCGGGACTTTAACCTATGGCCTTCTACATAATTGATGCACGTGCAACCATCCGGCTATCATATAAAATAAAACCAAATATGGGAATTTATTATAAGCAATTTTTGAAGTTTAAAGGGTTAAAAGATATAAAATAAAATTTTCTCTTTCAAATACTTATATTTTATTTATGATATAGTAGTAGGCTTCTAATACAATACAAGTGTCTTAAAATTTATTTTAATCATTCAAATAATTTTCTCGTTCCTTCTAGTGAAATTCTACGTAAAGGCACTTACAATTTTAGATTATATTAATGGATGTGATATGAGGTATTTGTTTATTACTTGATAAGCATATGTATTATGTTCAGATTACTAAGAAAGCACAATATCTATTTTCCTGCTTATAAAGGTAACATAATTTTAGAACAAGAATTTCCATCAGTTCTATGTATTTTGCAAGTCTAGCTGTAATTCTTATTGTTGGTTTATAAATTGCAGTCATAGGATTTTTGGTATTTGTATTAGGATATCATCAGAAGCTGAGGTGCTCAATTTCATACTCTGCTTCTTCCCTCTCATATGATGTTTAACAAATCAATATAATGGTATCGTTTCATAATACTAAATGGTGTCGTGTTGCAGTTGGTTATCCATCAGTCTAACAAACTGAAGGTATCTACTTCAAGTCTGGACGATGCCATTGTTATTTCATTTTTACTCAAATTTTCTTAGCATAATTTTCTTGTTCATTGTAGTGAAATTTTAAATGATAAAAAATTGATGGTTTTTCGTAACATAAGCTTAGGTGCTTAATTTCATGCTTTGCTTCGCCCTTCATACGATGTTTAACATGTCAATCGAACACACTGATGGTCGCAAGTTAAAGTTCGGGCAATGTAGTTTTTACTGCTTTTTCATTGCACTGAAGTGAAATGAGAAATGGGAAAATTAAAACTGACGTCGTTACCGGAGATCAAACCCAGTTCACCAATGTGACAGGCAGGAATGCTCACCACTACTGTAATCCCCTAGACTCGGCTTGAACGTTAGACCCAAACCTAAGCAGTCACATGTCCCATTCAAAGATTCTTTTTATATTTAAAACAACTTATAAAACATTAGAGGTAATACGGAACAAAATATCGATAATACGGTTATATCCAAAACGATAGCAAAATACATGTCACCAAATACAACTGAAAAATATGTAGCGATATTCGTTCATACAAAAGTAAAAATGGTTGATCTTCTCTGATTCCAAATCTGCTAGATTACAGTTAGCTGTTATCTGAAAAGGGTAAAAATTTAAAAATGAGCTAAAAAGCCCAATGTGCTCCATACAGTGTAATAAAACATATTAATAAAATATACCACTTAAAATCGATTTATAAAACATATTTTTTAAACATGAACACTACTCCCATCCGTCAAGTCCAAAATGTGTAGGTTCCCTAGAACCATACACCCACCGTCAAGTCTAGTAGGGCCCTGAGCACAAAGCCGAGGAGCCAATAAGACCCTGAGCACAAAGCCGAGGAGCCTCCAAGTATACTTCCTCCAACATTATTCCCCCAATGACAGTAATAAACATGTATGTATTCGACTGAAAATGGAGATTAATCCATTAAAACATGAATATGTTTCGAGCTTGAAATATCATATCCAGAAATTACAGAAACCATAATTCAAATCAGTAATATTCGGTAAATTAGATGTCGGGTAACCAGTATTCAAAAATCAGATATCATGTCGTAACAATATTCAAAATTATCACCAATTTGAAACAATTCATATAATAGTTTAAAATAGTAAGATAACACCGTCAGGAAACACACCTGTAACAGTCTGAGTAATAAGATAGGGAAGCTTACTACTGGGTCTGTCGATTACGCTCTGTTGCAGCGCTAGATCCTACGAATTGGAAAAATCCATATTTGAATCCTAATATGAATATCTTAATATTTATTTAAATAATTTACGGAAACCTACGGGTAATTCTCGTAGTATACAGTTTGGACTGATATGACAAAGGGACAACTCCAGACCTAACTGATCCTCGCTCAAGTGAAACACGAGTACCTTCATAAAATATCTTATTGGATTAATTCTATAACCAAATCTCAAATAAATAATAAAAAATGCTAAAATACTAAGCATTTTTGGGTTAACGGGCTCGATTCGGGGATTTCGAGTTAGAATTTGGCAAAACAGACTTCAGAATCAAACTCAGGATGTCGAAAAACATAAAATATGGCTTTTCAAAAGTTTGACTTTTTGGTTAAAGTCAAAATCAACGGGTTTGACTGACGATTTGGAGGCTTTCAGGTTCGAATTTGGTGAGACGTACCCGAAAAACGGATTCGGGACATCGAAAAATGTCATAATAGGTATACCTAGAAAAAGTCAATGGCCGTTTAATGGCCGGTCAACACCGGTCAAAGTTCTGGTCAAAGATGGTCAAAGGCAGTCAACACAGATTAATGGTCAATGCGGTCAACGGTCAATGGGTCGGATCGGGTCAGACCGGTTCGGACCGATCAAACTGCCCTAATGTCATTTCGAAGCTCCCCCACGCGCAGGGGTGGCGCGTGTGGCGTGCTCCAGTGTCCTTAAAATCACGGAAAAATTCTTAAAATTATTTTAAGCGATTTTGAGGCACTTACAAAGCTCGGTTCACAATTTTGATCGGTGGAGAGCTCGATTTCAACACGTTAGAAACTTTGACCGCTTTACCTCCCTCACGCACCACCGCTGACGGAGACAAGGAGGACACCGGCAAACTCGAAACGACACAAGGAACATGATGGTACAAGAGGTGTCGAAAATGGAGCAACGATCGACGATGAATTGAAGATTTTCTCGGCGGTGGTGCTAAAAAAAAGGTCAAAACTTTGAATCAAAATTTACAGCGTTTGACAGTGTTTCACTTCAATTGATTTAAGGGAGTTGTTCATTGCTCGATGAAGAACACGATGGTGGTTTCAAATCGACGATCGGTGGTCGGACGACATCAGGATCGTGTTTGGAAGTTGGGCGTTGGAGGAGGAAATTTGGGAGCAATTCATTTCTGATTGAAATCATAAATGAATTGCATGCGTATAATGTGTTTTCTGTCGACACTATTTGTGTAAATTCAGGGCTTGGTCCTTAAATTTCCTTCAACTCTAAAATAGGCTACAAGTTTTGAAAACTTTCAAATTAATCCTCTAATTTTGCCAAATTACTTAATTAATTTTTTTTCTTTTCCAATTTTCCAGGTTGTTACAACTACACTGCAACAACTTTGTAGTTTATCGATTTATTATTTGCTCTAAAACATATTAGTATTTTCAGAAAGTTTTTTAGTGATTATGATTTCAAGTTGCCTATTATCTAGAATTCATTTCTTGAATTCTTTCTCGTGTAAAAAAATGGTTTTAATAAACTTTTTCATCATGTGGTGCTTGTATTTGTTTTATTTTTTATTATGTATAAAATTTGTGTACTTCATATAATTTATGATGCATATATTGAGTTGTGTATGTAAGATAAAATATACGATAAACTTAAAATGATAGAATTGATAGTTTTTCTCTTTCGATCACTTATACTTCATTTATTATACAGTAGTAGGCTTCTAATACAATACAAGTGTCTTAAAAGTTATTTTAATCATTTAAATAATTTTCTATTTGGTTGTAGTGAAATTGAACGTAAAGGCACCTCTAGTTTTAGATGGTCATCTGTATTATGTTCAGATTACTAAGAAAGCACAATATCTTCTTTCCTATTTTATAAAGATAAATATAATTTCAAATAAAAACTTCCATCAATTCTATGTATTTTGCAAGTCCAACTGTATTTCTTATTATTACTTTATAAATTGCAGTCGATGAGGTGTTCAATTTCATACCCTGCTTCTTCCCTCTCATACGATGTTTAACAATTTAATTTAATGGTATTTGTTTTATATGGTACACGATGTCATGCCGTAGTTGGTTATCATGGCAGTTGTTTATTTGCTTTTTAGTGTTTACTGCCTTTTCTTTCCACTGAAATGAGAAGTGAGAAAACTAGAACTTACATCGTTGTCAGGGATCTAACACGGGTAACTCGCGTGACAAGAAGGAATACTCACCACTATACTACAACTTTGTAATACCCCAAACATAAAGTCAGTGACTATAGTGAAAGGATTTAAAATTTTGTGGGTTAATTTAAATAAATTGAAAAGTACAAGGATTAATTTAGGAAATTGTGTTTAAGACTTATTATTAAGAATGTAAGAATAGAGGGACATTATGGTCTTTTAAGAGGAAATGAATTTAATATTCATTCTTTTAGGGATATTTATTAAGGGATGAATAGGAGAAAAAGGATAATGCAGAAAACTTTGGTTATCTACTCTTCTTCTTCTGCTCCCTATACCTCCATAGCAAAGGTAAGATTTCTTCAAGTTGGTTTTTCCTTTCGTTTTTGGGTTGATTTTGAAGGCTTAAGTGATATAGAAGCTTAAGAGTGAAT